ATGTACATCTCGTATGTCACATCATAGGAAGTAATCACTTAACCACATCATAAGTAATCTTTATACAAAGATTCTATCACATGAATGGTTAGGTTGATTCAGTGTTTTGACTTCTTAATTTGCCAAGTCATATACTCACCAGGTACTATAGTAGATGTCCTGTATACCACCGCGGATCATACCTAGACTGGTGTCCTGTAAATCCATTACGACATCATACCCTGACCGATATCCTGTATAACAATTAACAGGGCGGGACGTACCTAGACCATTGTCATGTAAAACCAATGGGACCATACCATGACCGATGTCCTGTAAATTAATCTTTTGTACTTATTGCACACCAGGGCACCTTTATATTTGTTTTTAAGTTATCACACAATTCCAGTTACAACCAGACATACATTTAATATTGGATGATAATATAAAGCAAAGACAAAGTGTCTCTATATATAACATTTTGTTTTTATATCATTCATACAATGTTGAAGGTAATATAGAAGCATAGCAAAATAGTTTGGTTGTACTTTAATATAATAGTAGAAAAAGCTAGCGTACACTCGAGGTGTAATATAACCTTCGTTCACACCTATTAGTTGTACTTTAATATATTTTGAAAAATAAACATCGTTGGTTAATATTTTTGTATTAAATGAATCGTATGATTTGGATTAGAGAATTAAGACATTCACCCATTAGAGACTATGGTATAGTATCATGTCCCAAACTCCGTTAATTCATGGTCTAAATAGCAAAAAACAATAGAAGTAGGGTAATGTGGCGGCGCTAGCTTAAACCATGTACAACTTATAAAGTTTAAAATTGTTGGTCAATCAATGATCAGATGGTCATGAATACTATTTTTCAAGCGGTGATGAAATTACAACTTTGTTTGACATTATTGTTGATTATGATTAAAATATGGATTAAATGTAGCGCCTCATATCAGATGAAACAGAGATAATAGATAACAGTAATAAATAAATAAGAAAAGTAGGAATCTAATACCATTGATAAAAATGACAGATAATAGAAGAAATGGTACAAATAAATAAAATTCGCCGCCCATCGGGCGACCACAAAACTAGTTGAGATTGATTGTGATGAATTGTCTTCCAACGCTCCCAAGAGGCGGCTTCTTTGATTGTGGCGACTCTGTGAGGGTGTTTGGATGTTTTTGTTTGATTGTTCAGTGAATATTTAAGTTCAAGTTTCATGAGTAATTAAATGTTATTTAGTTACAATTTTACATGTAACTACTCATTAATTAGTGTATGGACTTTGTTATGACTAGGAGAAATAAGTTTATTGGTGTCTATATAGTTAAATAGTTAAACTTAAATTAATTCCAATGTGATTTTTTATGGTATCAGTATATATCAAATACTAACACTCATAATTCTCTAAATTTTAATTTAGTTTCACTCTTCCTATTTATCAATACAACTAAGCAATTCATTATTCTAAGACATTTCATAACGAGCACAAACACAAGTCAATAAAAAATAGTATTTCTTACAATCAACTGTAAATTACAAATTTTGGTTAAGGGGGAACCATGATCTTTATTTATTTGAGTGGGGTCGAGGCTGGCTGAATTAAGAGAAGATTCACTCTATCATGGTTAAAGTTTTGGTATAGCTCGTTATCTTGGTATATATAAATTTCAATCGCATATCTCAAATATCAAATACGGTTAAAAATCATTCTCAATCACAAATCAATTATAATAATAATATCTCGTTAATAGATAATACCAAATAATAATAAATTTGGTGAGTTATTTTGTGTATCCCAAATACTTATACTAAACTTAAATCATGCAGGGCAAAAAGACACCACCAACTTCGAAACGACAGTAGTAGCACTTTGCGGCGGTGGCAGCGCCAGGTGGGTGTTCACACGGCGGTGATGGGTCTCGGCAACGACGATGGGGAACAAGAGGGGACAGAATTTCGATTTAGGGTTTTGAAACCCTTTCTTGTTTTGGCCCGGGTCCGGACCCTATTAGGTTTCCGGCCCACATGTTTGGGCCTTTTTGATTTGGTTTCTGATCCATTTTCATTTTCTCTGCTTGTACCTTTCCATTTGGCTTTTGACCCGATCGCATTCTTAATGACATTTAACTTAAAAAAAAAACTCTGAAACTTCCTTAGTAGACCAGTACTAGTAGTATGGACTGTGGAATCAACCAGAGAGATTACCCCACAATACTAGCAGAATACACAACCAAAAGCATCCAACCAGCAAGGTTCTCCCGGATATATGTTTCTTATCTTTTTTTTCTGTCGATAGGGGCGTCACCATCTCTTAGAGCTAGAGCTCTACCTTTGAGTTAGTACAAACTTATTATCCTTGTTTGTGTGGTTTCATGGTCATCATGGTATTGTAGTATACGTTGTCATTTTATGGTAGAATCTATCTGATATATTGTTTTCTTTCTATAAGAGAAACAACGCCTAATAAAATTTTAGTTGCTTGTGCTGTCAGTGGCGGCCGAATAAGTTAGAGCCATATATAGTTAATGTAAAAAGAGATATTCATATATTGTTAACATATATTGTAGATAAACATGGAATGTCCATATGGTACTTAGCATAGATTACTCATCATGCGAACAAACTTCTTATCAGTGCTGACGATGGTTGACTCTTGATTCTAGTGCTTTCTATTAATGTGAGGAATTGTTGTTTTTGTTCTTACCCTAGGGTATCCATCATCTCCTCGAAGCTCTATCTTGATTTAATAACACTTACTATGATTCTTTTTATGATCACGTGGTTGTCAGGATGATGTACTGTATGTTGTTATCAGATAGGAAAACTTATCGTATGCAATGTTTTATCTTTTTAAAAATAAATCGGCGCCTAATAAAGTATGAATTGCTTATGTTATCAACTAGAAGGATAAGTTTGAAGGTATGCTTAAAAGAGTCCTTTATTTATTGTTAACTTGTATTGTCTTGTAGATAAAGATTGAATGGAATGGAGTGATGCTTTTCTAGCACAAACTGATTGTTCATTCTGCTGTTATTGTACAGATTGGCTAGAATGGAGTAAAAGTTAAAACTTCCCCAAAATGGCTAGAATACAAGTTAAGACAGCTCAATTTAAGGACGGGCAAAAGTAAGGAGCATTGCCCCATCATCTCCAGAATACTAAAAGAAATAGATATCACCATTGGAGTTGTTCTTGAACATTGAAACGAAACTGTTTGGTGTTTAGGCTTGTTCGATCCTCTGTTTTAGAGCTCTATTAATGTAACACAAAACAACACTAACATGGTAGAACAATAGTAGAATACACAAACAAAGGCATCCACTCATGGATAGCTTCACACGTCAAAGACACAATATAAAGGATCCGGTGTTTAAACGACGCTCATTCATTCAAACCACAAATTATGCTGATGATGACGAGGATGTGTCATTAGTCGGTTGCAGTATTGCAAGCCGATCTTCTCCCTCGCTCCCTCCTGCTATTTTCAGCAAACTTCAAGCTAGCCTGATGCAGGCCTCTCTCCTTCTCCTGTGAGCTCCATATGTTGTAATCCTCTTCGGTGACAGACAACGACGAAGATGAGCTGCTGCGATCGGCCGAAAACATTCCGCCCCACTGCGGGAAGTTGATCAAACATAGAGGGAGAGTGCAACAAATGATCATTATCCCCATGTACGTAATTCCAGTCTCCTTGGAATATCTTGAACCTTTGAAGAATGCCAGCTGAGTTATCACTGCTCTCACGTTCCCTCCTCCTCTCGTCATGCCCGAGATTAACCCTAACGACCTAGAGTAGTTAGTAAAATACGATGTAGTGCCTACCTGACACTAACTAATGTCTCCTTCAAACTAGTGAATGGCGTAGTGCTATATGTCACTGTCCCGACCTGAACGGTGATTGGACGAGTATTACCCGACTCACAGTAGCGTGGGGCGGGGCATGGGTATCTACTTCCGACCCGCCCTGTCCCGCCCCGCTCCGTTCTTGGCCCATTTTATCTCATTTTCTTACGGTATTTATACATATTTCTCCTATTTTGACTTTTCTTCAACTAGTTAAAGTCGATATTTCAACTTGTTAAACTCCACTGCCCATTTTTGTTATCACTATTATTCATTCATAAAGTGTTTTCCATCGTTTTTATCATAAAAATAAATTCACGTGTTTTTTTTTCAAATAACATGTAAGGGTGGGTCGATCCGACTCACCCCGACCCACAGAAAACGTGGGGCAGGGCATGGGTATTGAGGTACCCACCCTGCCCCATTGCATCACTACTTCAAACTGAGCTAGACATGGTCTGAGCTCATCTAATCGCCATAGGACAAGAACTTGTATGCCCTCTTCCACCCTCAACCCTATGTTCCCAACTGGTAGAGAAAGATAAGTTCATCAAATATGGCCTTAACACAGAGTAATTCAAACCACCAAGTATGGCTTAATTGCAAGTTTGGTCACTCGAATTGCTACAAAATTTCACATTTGCCACTCAAATTAATTTATTCCATTTATAGTCACTTAAATTAGGGTTAACAGTCCAAGTTTGGTCACTGGCCGTTAGTCTCCGTTAACTTTGCTGATGTGTCAGTCAACTCTAATAGTTGACCGTTAAATGTATGACGTGGCAATTAAAAAATAAATAAAAATTATAATTTCTACCTCATTATCACTATCATTAAAAATAAAAAATTATTTATTTTAATTTCCTAAATCTCACGAACTAACCTTACATCTTTCTCACCATCGCTCGACCTAGATTTCTAGCCTTCAAATCCCTAATCTTA